CAAAGAGAATCGTTGAAGCTATTTGAATAGATGAAGCTATTGAGTATGTATTAAAGGGGAAGAATATAACAATAAAAATGGCCCAAGGATAGAACCCTGGGGAAAAACTACATTTTGAAGAGAAGAAAGAGACTGAGGATGGGGACGAGGAGGGATTAGTCTGGGAAAGAAACAAGAAGCTGAAAAGTTGAAAAAGAAAACAAGATAGTGTTGTCCCCGGAACCAAGAAATGAAAGTGTTGCACAGAGGGAGGACCACACAATTTTCCTCACTCAATGTTTTCCCTCAAAAGAGCCTTGTACTAGGACTCAGTCCCTACTCTACTGTGTGACTTTCTAGCTGTGTTACAAGTTGAGCAAGTCACCTCCCTAAGTCCAAGATTCTTCAGATTTAAAAACAGATAAGACCAGTCCTGATTAACAGGCTGCTATGAGGATCAAATGAGAATGGAATCATGTGAAGAAGGCCTTTGTTAACTGCAAAGCACTGGACAAATAGGAGAGGCTGTTCGTTCAATACATCCTTATTGTTATTTTTATTAATTATGTGAAAATATAACTGCTGAGTGGAGGATTTAAAGTTTTTAATATTAGGAAATCCTGAATTTGAAAGGCCATGATTCTTCAAGAGTCTCATTAGATATAATAGCCGGCTCTTAGGAGCATCTATTGTGTGCTAGACACCGTTCTAAATCCTCCACATACCTTAACTCATTTGATCCTCAAAAACAAATCTTATGAGATAGGTACTACTATTAACCTTGTTTTACAGATGAGGAAGCTAAGGCTGAGAGAAGTGACCTAACTTGCCCTAGGTCACACAACTAGGAAAGTAGCTGAGCCAGAGCTTAAGCCAAGTCTTTCCTATGCCAGAGCCTGACTTCTTAATCACTACACCAAACTTCCTCTTAAAAATATGCCTTGGAAAATTAGAAGACCACCATATTGCAACCCTAATGAATTATGGATCTAGGCATCAATGGCAGCTACCATCACAAAGACAACCAGACAGGGCTTCCCTGGTGGCACAGTGGTTAAGACTCCACCTGCCAATGCAGGGGACACGGGTTCGAGCCCTGGTCCAGAAGATCCCACATGCCGCGGAGCAACTAAGCCCATGTGCCACAACTACTGAGCCTGTGCTCTAGAGCCCATGAGCCACAACTACTGAGCCTGCGTGCCACAACTACTGAAGCCTGCGCACCTACAGCCCATGCACTAAAACGAAGAGCAGCCCCTACTCGCCGCAACTAGAAGCCCGTGCACAGCAACAAAGACCCAATGCAGCCAAAAATAAACAAAACAAAATAAATAAAACATAAAAAAAAAGACAACCAGACATAATGTTCCTGAAGGAAGCACATGCCACCACCTATGAGGTAATTTTGCACCCCCTCCCTCCCCCGCAAAAAATTGAACCTGAATCAAACAAAGCTTTTAGATTAGGGTTATGGTTGCCAGATGAATTTCAGGATGCCCAGTTAAAACTGAATTTCAGATAAACAACAAATAATATTTTTAGTGTAAGCATGTCCCATGCAATATTTAGTATGTCCCATACACTAAATTTGGGACACAGTTATACTAAAAAAGTATTCATTGTTTATCTGAAATTCAATTTTAACTGGGAACTCTGTATTTCTATTTGCTAAATCTGGCAACCCTACTTTAGATCCAACTACCCATTTATAAGGAACACAAACGGCAGAGAAACACATTAAAGGAACCAGAATAAGGCTATCTGCACCAGACTGGGTAAATGTACAAGACAAACCACCAGACTTCTTTAACAAAGAAATGTCAAGAGCGAGAGAGAAAGAGAAACCTATAGACTAAAGAGACTTAAAAGACACAAAACTCCATCACTATGTGTAGACTATTTAGATTCTGCTTCAGATTATTAAAATACCACGACACTTGTGATATTATTGGTAATTTGATCACTGTCAAGTAATTCCATAAGTATATTAAGGAATTATTCATTTTTTAGTTTTCTAGTGGTATTGTGGGTTTTTTTAAGAAGCCCTTATCTCTTATACATTTTGAAATGTTTATGGATGAAATGACATGTCCCAGAAGTGCTTCACAATAATATGGAAAGGAGGGAAGTGGAAAGAGTATAGATGTAATAAGATTGGCTTTGAATTGAGGATGTTGAAGCTTCCTTAAAAAGTACACGTGATTTCATTATACTTTTCTATTTCGGTATATGTTTGAAGTTCCCCATAATAAAAAAAGGCTTTTGAAAAAAACAATACCTAAAACAGAGCCTGACCTACTGTAAACACTTAATACATATTTGTTGGCAGGCAAATGGGTTTAATTTTAAAAAAGGAAAGCTTCCAGATGGTCATCAAATGGAAAAACATTTTAAAATGAGATTGCAAGCATGAATATGCCTGAAAACACAAATGAGATTCATTTAGGGACCAAACTATACTCAAATGGAACCAATAATGAATTTGCTCAGACAAGGGAATTTGTTTATTAAAGATGAACAGTTGTGAAATTCTGGGCAGAAGAGGTTCATATATTATAGCTATTAATTTTGGTAAACACAGAAGACATTTTTAACCCTTCAAAAAGATGTTATGCAGAAAACAATCCACCTTAGATTTTCTTCAATATTTATTATTCCACTGAACTGTTGTAGAAAGTCATGTTAATTTCCCAAAGGCCTTTGGACAGATTTCGAAAATTTGAATGTTCAAATGCAAGTGATCGCCAATTACTAAAAATTAATGACTTCTCATGCTGAATAATGCATGCACTTGGCAGGAGGACTTTACCAAAAATGCAGTGTTGTCAGTTTTTAATGCAATCTTGCCTTAGCTGCTGGGTACATGAAGGCAACCAAATTCAAAAGCAACCCTCAGCCCCCCACACACAAGGAGCAGGTTAGTGTGTTTACTGAAGTGTTTAGTGCAGGTGAGATAAGCTGTTTATTTTATGCTTAATGTTACACTATATGGATGCACCGTAATTAATTCAACCATTCTCTTATTGATGGATATTTCCCACTATTATCAACAACAATGCATTTGACCTTATACATTTAGCCTTACATTCTGGTGCTTTAATTTCTGGGGGAGAGATTACAAGAAATGGGTTAGCTGGGCCAAAGAATATTTATAAATATTTTTAATTTTAGCAGAAACTAATTGCATGTATTTTTAAAATTAGGGCTACGATGTGGAATGGCATTTTAAAAATGAATCACCTAACTACAAATCAACCATCTCACTAACCTCACTTCAAATGCAAAGTATGTTTAAGCTCTGATTTAAGTAGAGAACTGGGTTCTTAGACAATCTCTCATTGACAGCACTTTTGGTGTTGAAAATTCCATGGTTTATTCTGTTTCAGAGCATCTTGTATCAGTACTTCCAGTTTGGTATTCCTTCCTGTACTAGAAGGAAGCAGCATCTTAAACTGACTCCTTGCCACTGTCTCTGAATTCTGAGTGCCGTTTCTGTCTTTCCTTGGTCCCTTTTTGCAAGGAGAGACTGGCTGTCCGCACTCTTTAAAAGGTATTTTTATTGGTATCTTTTCCTCTTATTCTTTTTGTCCCTCTAATTTTAAAGATCTTTTTATTTGCTGTTCTTCAAATTCAAAAATAACAAATGCTTGTTATAACCAGTGAAACAAGGCAATAGGAGGATGTATAAACACAAAGCTAATCATCACACGTCGACCTCCTGATGTGATCAATATTAATAGCCTGCTGAGCAGCCTTCCACAACTCCCCTTGCTCATACAAACAGATCAAACATATGTGCACATATGTAAAATTCTGTTTGTTTTCACCAAAGTATAATCATACTATACACATTATTCTGCAACTTGTTTCACTTAACTCTCTCTCTCTCTCTCTATATATATATACACACACATATATTTATATATATGTGACAATAGACAATATATGTTATTTAAGAAAATATAGTGGAGATACTCTGCAGTCATAAGTTCTTTTCCAGTTCTAGAATTCATTTTTGTATTCCTTTGGAGAACATACAACCATGTATTTGTAATGAATTGTTTAATGTCTTTCTTCCCTGCTAGACTGAGAGCTCCTTGAAGGCAGGGGGCTAATTTTGTTCACCACTATATCTCCAGAATTTAGGGTAGTGCTGCCAGGACAGTAATTGCCTTTATAAAATCTATTTGTTCATTGTTTCAGTGCTTCTTGAAACCTTCAGTCTACTTAAACTGGGTCATTGCCAATACTCAAATGTACGTGTCTTTAGGAACTCAGGCCTGAGTAAATCACTACTCAAAGTTATTTAGATGGAAACTGGTGACAGTACATTTTAAAAATTTGTAAGACTTCGTGCCTTTTAGCAAAAAACCCTTTCTGCCACAAAAAAAATGAATTTTAAAGGACAGAGCACATGTTTAGCAGAAAGAGAGCTCTACACTTATAATTAGAGCTGAATTCTAGTCCCACCTCTGCCATTAATTACTGTGTGGCCTTTAGAAAGTTCCTTATCCTTTCTGGTCCTGGTTCATCTGTTGCTCTAACATTCATTAATTCCAAAACTATGTACTGTCCCCTGCGTGCGGCACTAGGTTAAGTGCTAGTGATACAGGGGTGAGTGATATAACAGCTAACAGTTAACGAATGCTTACTGCATGCTTGGCCTTTTGCTAATGGAGTCAAAGGCACTATCTCATTTAATCTTCCATGATAGCACTACCGTGTACTTTCTGTACTTTACAAAGGAGGAAACTGAGGCATAGCGAGGTAAAGTAACTTTCCCAGCATACCAAAGGACGCGGTGAAGACAGGATTGGAAGCCGGACAGTGAGGCTTCAGATGCCGTTCCAACAACCTTAGTGATCCTTACCCTCATAATTCAACGACTATTGGCCTGCATTTAATCCCAGCCCAGTACTGGGTGGAGCGCCCTCTTGTCAATGGGAGGGTGCAGTGCCTCAGGTGCTTGTCAGAGAAACCATTGAGAGACCTGACACGATCTCAGTCAGGTGAAACACTACCTCGCTCTCGCAGTTTCCACAACCGGAAAATGAAGCGGTGGGACGTGTCAGCAGGTCGTACGCACGCACGCCTCTCTGGGCGTCCCATTGGGTACGGGTGAGCGTGCGGGTCACGCCAGCAGGACGCGCTTCTCTGAACTCGGCACGGGGCGGGGAGAAAGGGCGCGCTGCGTGCGCGCGGGCCCTTCCGACGTCGGCGCGGGCGGGCGGCTCCGCCTGGCCTAGGGCTCCTTTGCCCCGCCCCGCTGCCCGCGCCGTTGTGGCGTCTACTTCCGGGTCCTCACCACCTTTAGCGAAACCAACGAGAAGAAACCGCCTGCATGTAGAGCAGCCCGACCAGGAACGTATCCGAGTGGCGCGGGAACGTGAGAGGAAAGCCGTGCGCGGCTGCGCTTTACCGCCCCTGAGCCGCTCTAGATGCGGGTGAGTGCTGGGGCATCGGCTCGCACCTGGAGCTGCCCGCGGAGCAGCCCCCGGAGCGGCCTGACCCCGCCCCTCTCCGGGGAAGGCTTGGGCCCTGGCCCACTCCCAGCGTACTCCACGCGGTGTGTCCGGGCAGGTGCAGTGTGAGGAACAGTGAGGGGGCTAGTTAGAGCGCCTGCTTCCTAGAGGCGCTCTCTCGGCCCCTCCTTGGGGTGATGAGATGACCATGTCTCTCCCTCACTTTTGTTCTCCATTTCATTCTCTTCCTTTTTCCATACTCCGCCCCAACCGCCTTCATCTAAAAGGATTCATCTCAAAAACCACTCCGGTCGTTTCTGCCTCGCTTGTGCTTGTGTGCGGTTTTAAGTTTCCCTTGCCTCTGCACCAAATATCCTATCATGTGCATCTCTAGATGCTACTCCTTAGAAAAATTTGTGCAAATGATTCATAAGTAGTATCCCCATCAGGAAGAATTCTGACATACATATACCATTATCAATCTAAGAGACACTAGTGAATTATTATATAATGGCCAGACATATTGAAAATTGTGTAATATGAAATGCCAAAATCCTATATAAAATAATTCATTTTGGAGTGCATCTGACAATTCTAAAACAAGCAGAGCTTGTTTCCTGTGAATTTTCTTTTCCTTATTAGAGCTGTGTTTGTTGACCAAGTTCTGTGAGTGACACAGGAAACCTGTCCTGCCTCTTTCCCACCCGACTTCCCACCCCTCCTTAGGAATTACATCTGTCAAGTTGTTCCACACGTTGTCCTTCTAAGGTAATGGAGGTCAAAGTCCATTTCCTCTAGAAGAAAACCAAGGGATGGTTTCCTTGTAGCAGTACGGTGATGCTGGATGCAAAATATCAATTATGGTTAACAGATCCTACATGTTTTTACATTTGTAGGAAAACAAGGTTATTCAGTAACTTTTTATTAAATTCTCAATAATATGGGTGGAAGCACTGTTGAAATCTTTATTCTGTAATAGAAAAACCATTAAACTGATGCCAGGATATCTGATTTCTAGTTCAGTTCTATTGCTGACTGTGACTTTGGGTCAGTTACCTAACCTCTGTGGACCCTCTGTTTCCCTATCTGTAAAATGAGAAAAGTGACATTAGATAGCTTCTAAGGCCACTTTCAACTTTAAGAAACAAAGGGAAAATCTAAGTAGCTCAGTAGAACATTCCTTGTGGAGATAGAAGGGAGATTGGGAAAATCTCAACAGTTGTATTTAATGTTGGGTTTTCTTTTAATTTCTAATTGAAATAAAAGTGTAGACTTTTCCCTTTTTACTTCCCCAAAGAATAAGAAAATGCCTTTGGAGGAAATAAAAATGTTCATTAATAGTCCCCAGATATGCCTATATTGACTCAGTTCTCATCCAAATAATTTAGCTATTTTCATTATGGGCTTTTATTATTATACATCAGTTAGTTGAGATACTGTATTGGAAACCATTTAGTCTTAGGAACAAAAGGGTAAATATTAACATATATGGTATCAATTCCAAGATGTACTCAAAACACCTAAGGACAGCAGCCATCAGTTAAGTAAAGCACTAGGTTGAGAACAGAGGCCAGCACAGATACCATTGGTGATTTACCAATTGTATGTGGTTTTATCTGTTCAATTTAAGGTTTTGTTGTAAAAGTCCATTTATATCCACAGAGGTATTTAAATAATATAATGCAAGCTTGTGAAATGAAATTCCTTTAAAGAGAATGATGGACAGACAACCTCTGTAATATCAGTTTCTGGGGTTAGTGCTTTGGTTTAGTACTTGCTTAATTAAATCCCTATAGATGAAGTGCAAAAATAGCCTCCCAGAAAATTCTATGGCAGCAAGGTGTTGCTGCAAAGTTCCACTTTGTACTGAACAGTAATCAGGTATCATTGGAAGCAAAAAATTCTTAAGACTCTCTTGTGCTACTTGCACTGACTCGATTTCAAGCTTGGGAGCCTTTTTTTTTTTAACATTAAGAGCAAAATGTAAGTATAGGGGGAATATCAAATCAAATCACTAGACTCCTTTTCTATTAAGTATCCTAAGGATCTTTTTCTTCTTTATAGGAAAAATGCTTTCTGAAAGCAGTTCATTTTTGAAGGGTGTAATGCTTGGAAGCATTTTCTGTGCCTTGATCACTATGCTAGGACACATTAGGATTGGTCATGGAAATAGAATGCACCACCATGAGCATCATCACCTACAAGCTCCTAATAAAGAAGATATCTTGAAAATTTCAGAGGATGAACGCATGGAGCTCAGTAAGAGCTTTCGAGTATACTGTATCATCCTTGTCAAACCCAAAGATGTGAGTCTCTGGGCTGCAGTGAAGGAGACTTGGACCAAACACTGTGACAAAGCAGAGTTCTTCAGTTCTGAAAATGTTAAAGTGTTTGAGTCAATTAACATGGAAACAAATGACATGTGGTTAATGATGAGAAAAGCTTACAAATACGCCTTTGATAAATATAGAGACCAATACAACTGGTTCTTCCTTGCACGCCCCACTACGTTTGCTATTATTGAAAACTTAAAGTACTTTTTGTTAAAAAAGGATCCATCACAACCTTTCTATCTAGGCCACACTATAAAATCTGGAGACCTCGAGTATGTGAGTATGGAAGGAGGAATTGTCTTAAGTGTAGAATCAATGAAAAGACTTAACAGCCTTCTCAGTATTCCTGAAAAGTGTCCTGAACAGGGAGGGATGATTTGGAAGATATCTGAAGATAAGCAGCTAGCAGTCTGCCTGAAATACGCTGGAGTATTTGCAGAAAATGCAGAAGATGCTGAAGGAAAAGATGTATTTAACACCAAGTCTGTTGGGCTTTTTATTAAAGAGGCAATGACTAATCACCCCAACCAGGTAGTAGAAGGATGTTGTTCAGATATGGCTGTTACTTTTAATGGACTGACGCCTAATCAGATGCATGTAATGATGTACGGGGTATACCGTCTTAGGGCATTTGGGCATATTTTCAATGATGCATTGGTTTTCCTACCTCCAAATGGTTCTGATAATGACTGAGAAGAAATAAGAGCATGTATATGATCACCGTGTAGGACATGTGGTGTTATTTGTAGTAACAACTGCATATCCAACACAGCAGTATGTTTCTTTTCTTTTTTTTTTCGTTTTCAGTTTGGTGGCACTGGTTTATTCACACATTGAAGTTTAGTAATACATTTTAAAATAGGGTAGGGTTTTTTTCCTTAAAACACACATGAGAATTTCAACTGTGTTGGAAAGAAATGTTTTAATAATAATAATTTTACAAATAAAGAATATATTTATAAATAATATATTTATGTGATAAATTCTAAATTATGAACATTAAAAATCTGTGTGGCACATGTTTTTGCTGATTGGTTAAAAAATTTAACATGTCTTTTTAGCTTTCTAAGATACGCAAATGAAATCTCTAGTTGTGAATTTGTGATTAAAGTAAAACTTTTAGCTGTGTGTTTCTGTTACTTCTAACGTTGGTTTATGTTCTAAGCCTTCGCAAGTGCCATGGATTTGCTTTCTCAAAATGCACAACCAAGCAATAAAGGGAATGTTCCCAACCACTGTTAAAGTGAAAGTTGAAATCTATCCCTGAGAGAAAAAGTGAAAATTAATTATAAAGGTTAATAATTTTCCTGGGAGCTAATTTAGTGGCCTCCCTCAGCATACACAATTTCAGTGTAACCCTCTATACTTCTCTATGCAGATATTGAAGTTGGAGTGGTGACTGTAAAGAATGTAATGTCATTTAACTGTATTGTTTCCCAGTTAATCAAGCTCTCAGCTGTGGCTTGGATAAAAATATATCAGTTGAGATTTATTTACTCCTGCAGAGCAAACGAGTTCTGTGGAAGTCTTCTTTGAAGAACTCCTTTCAGAAGTCTGGCAGTTTCACTTACTTGAATTGAGTCTGTCCTGGCTTTTGTTTACCTGTTCAAATTTTTAGATTTTTCCCATGTTCATGATTGCACCATATCCAACAGTTTTTGGTGTGGAGGTCTTAACCTCACCATTCACCTTGGATTACTCTGCCATTTGCCTGATTTCGGTGGCTACCCAAAAGCTTTATGGATGGTGGATACAACAGCTTCTGTGTTTATAAATGTGTGAAACACTTGGAGCTGACTTGTCCTAAAATCAGGCCTGCACATGCCATATTAAGTCAGATCCATAAGCCCCCACAGGGTGTGAAACCATGACATTTTAGAGGTTAATTTTTCTTATAACTGGCTTCATGATGTTAATGGTCTCCTACAGCTTTTGCAAGCCAGAAAGAATTTCCTCAAGAGGGCCTCGGGCTTCAAATTATTGATCATCAGAGTAGTGTGTAAAACCCTTTGTTTTAATTTATAGATTTTCCTCACTGGGGCTCTTGATTAAAATGAAAGGTTATTAATTTTGAAAAATAATAAAACCCTTTTATCAAGCACCAAAATATGTGGTCTCAGATGTAATTACTACAAACCAAATCATATTCAGTGTGAATGCAATGATAAACAGTATCTCACTGAGTGTGACACCCAGTTTACAAGTGTCACATTGCCCCCAACACCAGTATCTTAAAACTTTTTCTACTATATTTATCGCCTTCAATTACATTAGTGTATCAAGGTATAGTTGTAATAAATATATCAGAAAATGCATTCCATTGTTTGATTTCC